TGGGAAGGTAGTCACCCTGGGTTCTGGCGTAGACTCGTTGGCAGCAGAAGGGCAAGACGTCTGAAAAATGTTTGAGTTTGCTTCGAGCTCGAAGCTTTAATATGTGTTATTTTCAGGAGCGGTTGCTCGTCGACAACAGGCGGGTGAGTGGTTAGATGGCAGCGAGGGTTCAAGCGAGTGAAAGCTCTATTTTAGCTCTATTTTAGTTACAGCAAAATCAATAATGTTTGCGTGTACTATCTTAGTACCTGAGGTGATAATAGCCTTGTAAAATTGACGTCCTTTCCAATTTTGGTGCCTTTTTATTACGAAGCTGATATAAAGCAGTTACCTTCGACCTGTGGAATGCTTTGTATTATTTTCGGGATTTGCAGTTCTGCCTGGTGGACGATATTGACAAAGGATGGTTGTAGAAGTTTAAAGAAGTTAGATTAGGTAACATGCTGGTTGATTGCGCCACTGACTTTGACAGCAATGTGGTTCCTTTCACAGTTGCTACAAATTCTTCTTTATTTCCTAGACATGGTTCTTTGCTGTAAACGTCACCGGAAACTATGCGGACATGGCGAAAAGTGCAGTGCTTTCTTTTGTGATCGCATTCTTGGCAATAAGTGCACTGAATAGGGATGCTTTTTCTCCACGAGAGTTCTCCTGCAAATAAGATACTGCACTTCAATATATTGAAGTGTATATGCCCATACATGATGAATTGGTTAGGTCTCATTAATAAAGTTTATTCCAAGGAAGCATACACCGAGCTGACCTAAACGGGTTTAAAGGCCTAATTCTTCATAAAGAGGTATTAACCATCATAGTTTTTTGGACAGGAAGGTTAAGCTGCCCATAAAATTTGAAAGTTGACCGGCATTTAAGGACGTTTTTTAAGCTCGAGTCCACAATCTAGTTGTGGCGAGGAACGGACAAACATTTTTTATGCGATATTTTGTGTATTGAATCTTCTCTTTTGCAATTTATTATTTAAATGTTGTTGCTGGGTCTTGTGGTCTTTTCGCCGGTCTGCCTAGTGTTCCAAATTATTGACCGCGCAAGTATGACGCTTGTCCTTAAACTTCGTTTAAGGTTTCACCTTGTCGATTTTGTCTTTAACAGATCCTACAAATATTTACGTTTCGCATATACCTCAGTTATAGTTCTAAAAATCTTCGAAATAATGATGTTTTCTAAGCAAGCCTTTCCTCATAATTCGGAGCCTTGCTTTTTTCATCTTGTATTGTTTTTATACCCTTGCAGAGGGTATTATAATTTTGGTCAAAAGTGTGCAACGCAGTGAAGGAGACATCTCCGACCCTATAAAGTATATATATTCTTGATCAGGATCACCTCCTGAGTTGATATAGCCATGTCCGTCTGTCCGTCTGTCTGTCCGTCTGTCTGTTTCTACGCGAACTAGTCTCTCAGTTTTAAAGATATCGAATTGAAACTTTGCACACACCTTTCTTTCCTTTGCACGCAGTATATAAGTCGGAACGGGCGGGATCGGCCGACTATATCCTATAGCTGCCATATAACTGATTAATCGGAAATGCCATAACTTTGGTATTTGTTACGTTGAATTTTTGGGATTTTCTATGGGATTTTCTATGGGTTTTTTTGGCCAATCAATCCGACCTACCAAATTTCATAAGGATCGGCCGACTATATCCTATAGCTGCCATATAACTGAACGATTGGAAATGCCATAACTTTGGTGTTTTTAAAGTTAGGAAGTTGGGATTTTTTATGAGTATTAAGAATGCATCATATGAATAATTTTGGAGGATATAATTTACAGAGTATTCTGCAAGGGTATATCAACTTCGGCTCCGCCCGAAGTTAGCTTTCCATTCTTGTTTGTACTAGGTAGTTGTTTAGTATGTAGGGTTGCCCGTAGAGATAAGGTCAAGCTTGTTTCGTGGTGCTATAATAGCGTTGTATAGTTTCCTTTTTTTTTAAGGTAGGCGAGCCAAGGCCACAAGGCTTTATTTAAAGTGGTCACCAAAAAGGTCAAAGAATTTTACAGTTGAATGTGCATCCCCGTAGGCAACGCAGACTGCGCTCAGAATGCAATCGGTTTTCGTGTGTCCATATTCCATTCCGTTTTGTAGTGTCCTTCAACGGTGATTCTACGGTCCAGCAGATGTTAAAGCTTTTAGATTGTTTAAACTTCATTCTTATTTAAAGGCGGTATACCTTTAGGAGTCAGTTCTACCTGGAATAATGACTGAAGAATTTTATTTCTATTTACTATGTTAATAGCCAGTTTTACATCAAAGCTCTTTTCGTTAAGTTTAGCTATTGTTGCGCTAATAGGGACTGTTGGTTCGATTCCTTTGAAAACAACTTATAATGCACTGTTGGTAGGTGTAGTAATTTATTTTACTGATGTCGAGGTATTTGTCCACTGATAAATCTTGTTCGTCATTCGCTTGTATTATTTTTCATTTATTTTACTCCTTTTTATGTACTCGACGTAGAATTTGTTTACGCGAACTTGATCATTTTATTTTTTAACAATTCAGCACATTTTGCCTGCCGAACATAAATAGGTGGCGGCCTCAGTTGCTTGGCGGTAAGTGTTTGGGCGATAACATTATCTTCATTTGGGTCACTTAGAATAGAGAATCTTATCATACGGTCATACTGGTAGAGCGAGTTCGTGAGTTAAATGTCAAATGCATGTATTTCGGAAGATATTTTTTCTGCGTTAATGAGTTTTCAATCATGATTTGAGCCACACGTGAGTAATCGCTTGCCAAACTGTAGTCAAACATCTCTGCCCAGCTGGTCCATATTATTTTGTACCCAACGGCGGAGACATTGCTGGGAAGTGTCATATATAATCAGTTGATGCTGAGTAAAATATTGTGGACGTGAATCTCACCTATTGCTCAGAAAACACGCTTTAGGTACATAATCTCAGGAAAAGTCCATGAATCTTTCAAAAATGTCTCGGTCCACACGGTTATAGTTTCTAAGGACAAATCATCTAAGAAATTCAAAGGATTTGTTCGTCAATTCTGATCAGTACGATTTTCCAACTTCTTGATCCCATCCGAAAAGTAATTTTTCGGAAGGTCTGCAAAATACTCCTCCGTGGCGTCGATGACTTCCTCGCGTGAGCTGATTTTTTTATTAATGAGATATCTTTTCAGGTTCGGGAAGAGATAATAGTCCGAGGGAGCCAAATCGGGTGAATAGGGTGGATGCCGAAGCAATCGGAGCCCTAAATCACTTATTTTAGCCGTGGTTGCTACGCTCTTGTGCGCCACTGCATTGTCTTGCAAAAACAAAATTTGTTTCGCTTCATGTGAAGCCGTTTTGCAGCGATTTCGGCCTTCAATCGCTCCAACAATGCACAGTAATACTCGCTGTTGATGGTTTTTCCATAATTTATAATTTCAGTCAAAAGTTTGCAAGGCGATGCAGGGACATTTCCGACTTTGCCATCCGTTCGTTCGTTTCTACGCAAACTAGTCCCTCAGTTTTTAAGCTTTCTGGATGAAACTTTTCGAAAAGTGTTCTTTCTATTGTAAGTGATATACATGTTGGAACAGACCAGCTTTGTCGACTTTATTAAATAGCTTGGGAACAATCGGGGGAAACAAAAACAAATAACAATATCGTGTAAAAATAGCCATAATTTTCATGCACCGGAAATTTGGCAAGGTTGCGGCGGACGGGCTCTGAAAATATATATCACAATTTAATTATTATTTGCATACCGACATGGCTGTATCAACTTCGTTATATACAGGATCAGAAATTTCTCTGCGTAACAAACTTCTTAACAAAAGTTTTATATATATTTTACAAGGGTATAACTCTTAGGAAAAATAAAACCGACGGATCAATGGCGTTTTCATTACGCTGATATAACGCGTTCCAGGAGACAGTTAACCCCGTATCGCTTTGAGTCTTGTGCCTGAGACGGTAGAGTTGCTGAGCTGCTGATTACTGACTAATGCTTTTAATTAATTATTTCGAGTTTGAGTAGGGTAAAAAAAACACAGGACCTCAGCTTAACGCTAAGCAGATTAATGTGATTATTATTTTGCTTCACACTGTTATCGGGGGTCATGGGAGCTGCTTTCTTTTTGTTTGTTTGTAGTGTTGTCACTGTAGTTTGGCATATGGCACCACTTAAAAACCAATGATATGGCAATTTAAATCGGACATCTTTAACAAGTAGCTCCCATAGAAATATCAAAAAAAAAAAAAAATGAAAACAAATTATTTTACTGCAAGGGTATATAAACAACGGCTTGCCGAAGTTTGCTTCCGTTGTTGTTGAATGTACCTATTTAAAATTGCTCCAGATACAAACAAAATAATTTATAAATTTTTTTTTAAATTTTTGTTACTTTTTAATTCCCTTGCAGAGGGTATTATAATTTTGGTCAAAAGTGTGCAACGCAGTGAAGGAGACATCTCCGACCCTATAAAGTATATATATTCTTGATCAGAATCGCGTGCTGAGTTGATATAAGCGTGTGCGTCAGTCCGTGTGTCTGAACTAGTCTCTCAGTTTTAAAGATATCGAATTGAAACTTTGCACACACCCTTCGCTTTGCACGCGGTATATAAGTCGGAACGGCCGGAAATGCCATAACTTTGGTGTTTGTAAAGTTAGGAAGTTGGTATTTTGTATCGGTCTTATATTTGGCCAAACAATCCAACCTACCAAATTTCATAAGGATCGGCCGACTATATCCTATAGCCGCCATATAACTGCTTGATCGGAAATGCCATAACTTTGGTGATTTTAAAGTTACGAAGTTGGGATTTTTTTATTTACAGAATATTTATCTTTACTTTGTTGTTTTTTTTGTGTTTTTTGTACAGTAATTATTTCAATTTACATGCTGAAAAGCGGACCGCAAAGTTGGCCGACATGTTGAACATATCCTTATTTTGGCTTTTTTTCAATGAGCGTGTTCAGTGTGCTTATAAATATATAAATGTACACAAATTGATGCATCAAATTGTTTCCCTCTTTTCAGCACTTTTAATAGACAGAATCCAGAGCGACGCTAATTTATCAAAAGCATTTGCGACGACTTATTTATCCAAAGTTTTTGAATGTTTATCTCTAAAAGAAATATTTAAAAACGAACGATGCACACTTGCTGCTTTACACGCAATCAAACGATGTCTGAAATATTACCCAAAAGTTATAAAATCTGGTACAACATCAATCGAAAAACTATTAATAATATTAATAGACAGCACTAATATTGATGTTGTTTGTCAAACTGGTGAATGTTGGCTTTTGTTACAAAATATTCGTGGTAACTCCAACAATGAAAACAGTAATATCAAAACTGTATGGAAAGATTTCCAATTATCTTTACTAAATAATATTAATTGTATTATAAACAAAACATTACTTCTGCCCGAGGAAATTATTGACAGCCCTTCTAAAGCAAATAACTTTGGGCTTTCTACTCTTGAATTGGTTAAAGATCCTTTTGAAAGAGCATTACAAATTTTTGGACGAATTTGTAATCTTATTGAATATTTTAAAATTGCATTAGGGTAAGAAAAATATTTTCTTTTTATTTTCTTTTACTAAAACGTATTTTTCTTCAGCAAACCATACGTAATGAAAAAGTATATTTGCACACACCAAATTCTGGGTCTAATACATAAAGGATTAAATTTACATGTAAACCAAAGAAATAACATAAGAATGGATCAGGTATATTTCCGAACTTTTTTACCGGAAATGCACATAAAATTATTGGAACTTTTGGAAATTCTAATTGATATGTAAGTAACGGCTACATAAATATCCAAAGTTTTACTTTTCAGATTTAATGGTATTTGGTTTTCGTGCAAAAATTTTTAACAGATCGAACGAAGCGAAATCTACGAAATTATTAAGACTATGTGGTATATGGTGAACCGGCCGTACAATATAGGGGTTTCATTTGTACGTGATAAGTCGTGATCGTAGAAAAAATCGTAAATAACGGTATTTTTTTTTTGCAAATGCGGAGGTTAAACGTGATTTGCGACATATCAACCTACTCCCCATCAAACTCAACTCTAGAAATGCCTAATAGAACTATTATCTGCTCTCAAGAGGCTCAAAGGTGCCACTCCAGGAATGGATCGTATCTCCTATTGTATGATAAAAAAAACACCCACCCCTTTTAAACTCAAAATTCTACGTCACTTCAATAATACCTTTAACTCTCACATCCCTCAATCTTACAAACTAAGCCTAGTCCTCCCTATTTTAAAACCTCAAAAACCCCAAATCGAACCCAAATCCTACAGACCTATACCCATAAATACATGCCTAGAAAAAGTTCTAGATAAAATCGTTGCCAAAAGGTTGTGGTGGTTGGTTTGAACCAACAAACTCATTTACAACAACCAATTCGGTTTTAAAAGGAAAAAATATGTCCTAGACATAAAATGTCACATTTCGATCACATCCAGAGACTTTGCAAAAGCTCTTGATAAAATTCCCTTATCCACCAACTTCAAAAATGGAGAGCACGCCCTCGAATTCTTAAATACGTTTCTAACCTTATGACAAAAATAAAGATAATCTGATCTGAAACTGAGTTTCGTTTTCCAACTTCCCTTCCACTTGGCAATGCTTCCTCTTATTAAAAAAATGTCAACACCTACATGTATGCCGCAAACACAACTGATGAGCAAAAATATATACCGGCTTCCTAACTATCCCAGAAACTACCATCATGCTAATTACTAAAATTGACTACTACTTATTTATGAAAGTGCACCTGCACACCTAATTAACCATCTAAAAGAATCCAAGAATCAGCAATTACATTTACTATACCAACCAACTACTTATTGAATCCAATAAAAACACAATAGAACACAAGACAGAACTTTTAACAGGAAAACTCTCAAATAAATTAATAACGGTAAGTATTTTAACCAAGAAATAGACCCAAGTGCAATAGACCGAAGTATAGAAACTAAACCTCTCCTACTTACCAATCAAAAGCTACCCTAATAAAAAATTCAGCATGGAATTACTAATCAAAACTACCAACTCCGGTATTTCCAAGTACTGCAAAGCCAATACTTATATTATGTACAAACCATCCTAACCATCAATTCCTCTACACCGATGGATCGATGGCATATCAAGCTTTAGAGTAACCGACGAAAACAATACCATTAAATGTGGTCTTCATCAAAGCTTTTTATAGCCTTGCAGAGGGTATAATAATTTTGGTCAGAAGTTTGTAACGCAGTGAAGGAGACGTTTCCGACCCCATAAAGTATATATATTCTTGATCAGGATCAATAGGGGAGTCGATATAGCCATGTCCGTCTGTCCGTCTGTTTCAATACAGTTTGCGAGCTCAGTTTAAAAGCTAGCGATCTGAAACTTTCACAGTCGCCCTAAAACATGTGTATGCAAATCAAGTTTCAAAATCGGACGTCTATATCCTATAGCTCCCATAGGAACAATCGGATATATCTAGCAAGAATTGATGATATTTCGCGCAGTGTAAAAGCTATTGACATGAATCTTTCCAAATAGTATTTTTATACCCTTGCAGAGGGTGTTATAATTTTGGTCAAAAGTGTGCAACGCAGTGAAGGAGACATCTCCGACCCTATAAAGTATATATATTCTTGATCAGGATCACCTCCTGAGTTGATATAAGCATGTCCGTCTGTCTGTTGCTACGCGAACTACCCTTCTATTCTTTGCACGCAATATATAAGTCGGAACGGCCGAGATCGGCCGACTATATCCTATAGCTGCCATATAACTGAACGATCGGAAATGCCATAACTTTAGTGTTTGTAATGTTAGGAAGTTGGCATTTTTTATGGGTTTTATATTTGGCCAATCAATCCGACCTACCAAATTTCATAAGGATCGACCGACTTTATCCAATAGCTGGCATATAACTGATTAATCGGATATGCCATAACTTTGGTGTTTGTAAAGTTAGGAAGTTGGGATTTTCTATGGGTTTTATATTTGGCTAATCAATACGACTAACCAAATTTCATAAGGATCGGCCGACTATATCCTATAGCCGCCATATAACTGATTGATCGGATATGCCATAACTTTGGTGTTTGTAAAGTTAGGAAGTTGGGACTTTCAATGGGTTTTATATTTGGCCAATCAATCCGACCTACCAAATTTCATAAGGATCAGCCGACTATATCCTATAGCTGCCTTATAACTGAACGGTTGGAAATGCCTTAACTTTGGTCTTTTTAAAGTTTGGAATTTTGGATTTTTTATGAGTATTAAGAATGCATCATATGAATAATTTTGGAGAATATAATTTACGGAGTATTCTGCAAGGGTATATCAACTTCGGCTCCGCCCGAAGTTAGCTTTCCTCTCTTGCTTATGCATACCTTGATCAGGGTAAAAGCGCGTGCCGATCGGACGTCTATATCATATTGCTCCCATAGGAACAATCGGATATACCTTGCATGAATTGATGATATTTCGCGCAGTGTAACAGCTTTTAACATAAATCTTTCCAAATCGTATTTTTTTATGCGTACCTTAATCAAGGTAAAAGCGCGTGCCGATCGGACGTCTATATCTTATAGCTCCCATAGGAGCAATATGGTGAAATCGGTCCAAATTTGATGTTTTTCAGAATATTTGGCGCTGTGTATAAGCTATTGACATAAATTTTTCCAAGTCTTATTTATTTACGCATACCTTGATCAGGGTAAAATCGGTTGCCAATCGGACGTCTATATCTAATACCTTCCGTAGGGAAAATTTGTTAAAGGCAGCAAAAATATCAATTTTTTCTATTTTTATATGACATTTTTGCAGTATAAAAGCTATTAAACTACGCAAATCTTATTTATTTATGTATAACTTATTCTTTTTGCTACTTTTTCAATTTTAGCAATTTCGGCAAAGTCTGCAAGAGTATTAAAACTTCGGCTTGCCGAAGTTAGCTTCCGTCCTCGTTTGAGATAATTTTTCGATGAAATGTCATGCTTTCTTATATTTCTATCCAATTCGTCCCATAGGTGCTCGATAGGGTTGAGATCAGGTAATTGTGGGGGACGTGTGCGGTATTGTACGTAAGCCACATGCGAAAATCTGTGGCTGTATGCTTTTGTGAACGAGTTTGGCATGCTTAGGTTTGAGGCACTCGTTTTAAGGTTGTCCTTCAAAATATTGAGGTAATAAGCCTTGTCCATGATTCCCTCGATAAATACCAACTCCCCAACACCCGCAGATGACATGCATCCCCACACCATGACATTTATGCAGAGGGTTTGATAATTTAGTCAAAAGTGTACAACGCGGTGAAGTAGACATCTCCGACCCTAGTCTCTCAGTTTTAAAGATATCGAATTGAAACTTTGCACACACCCTTTTTTCTTTTGCACGCAGTATATAAGTTGGAGAGGCCAGGATCGGCCGACTATATCCTATAGACGCCATATAACTGCTTGATCGGAAATGCCATAACTTTGGTGTTTGTAAAGTTAGGAAGTTTGCATTTTCTATGGATTTTATTTTTGGCTAATCAATCCGACCTACTAAATTTCATAAGGATCGGCCGACTATATCCTATAGCCGCCATATAACTGCTTGATCGGAAATGCCATAACTTTGGTGTTTGTAAAGTTAGGAAGTTGGGATTTTCTATGGGTTCTATTTTTGGCCATCAATCCGACCTACAAATTTCATAAGGATCGGCCGACTATATCCTATAGCCGCCATATAACTGATTGATTGGAAATGCCATAACTTTGGTGCTTGTAAAGTTAGGAAGTTGGGATTTTGTATAAGTATTAAGAATGAAGCATATGAATAATTTTGGAGAATATAATTTACAGAATATTCTGCAAAGGTATATCAACTTCGGCTCCGCCCGAAGTTAGCTTTCCTTTCTTGTTTTTATTGACATCTGAGATCAATGGCTTCCTTCTAGCTGTACGACTGTGGTAGTTGGCTTCGTGTAGGGCCCTTTGCACAGTCATGGGTTGAACTACCTTCCCAAACTCATTCGTAACCTCTGCGGCAATCTGGGAAGAGGTTATTTTCGATCCACCTTCACTTTTCGAATCAGTTATAAGTTTGGTCACTGGGTTTGGCAGAATTTCATTTGGTGCTGTCTACTGTCCACCAGGTCACCGCCTTTCTTGGACGACTGAGGAATGTCTGCGTCTTTCTGGCTCTGTAGTTAGCCGCTTTCTCATTGGAGGGGATTGGAATGCGCACCACAGTTTCTGGGGGTGCAGGCGATCATGCCCTCGGGGAAACACCCTGATGTCAGTTATTGCTGACTCAAATATGCAGATTTTGGCTACTGGCGGACCCACTCATTTTCCTTGGATCAATGACCACCTCCCGACGGCCATTGATTTTGCTGTGTACAAAGGCATCCCGTGCAACCCCCTTACAATCTCAGAGTGCCCGGGACTTTCCTCTGGTCATATTCCGCTCCTGATATATTTTTGCGTGGCTGCCTATACGATCGTTACCAAATCCAGGCTTCTTCCCCGGGCTCGGATCTTAAAAGATTCAGTGCGCATCTTACTGCTCTCTCGACGTAGATTCCTTTGCTGAGGACTTAGTTGAACAGATCCATCAAGCTGCCCTTCCTCCTAGAAGTATACCTATTCCTCCTCCATCTTGGGCTTATTCAAAGCCAGAAATTGCTGCCTTGGCCAGAAAGGGTCATGCACTTCGCCGTGTCTGGATGAGGACGAGGCATACCATCGATATGGCAAGGTGGAAGGCTACTGTATCAGAGCTAAGGAAAGTCCTC